TGGACCTCACTGTCTGTTGAAAAAATATCCCGACTTCCATCTAGTTTTATTTATATTTTAAGGGTATTTTAATCCTTAAAACCCTCGGCAAGTCATCTAAGTTACCCAAAATTCTTAGAAATATCAGTTTTCAAAAATTAAACCCTCTCATTCACTTCTAAATTCTACACTGAACATGTGGCTCCTTATGCGGCTCTTTATGGGCGAAAGTGTAGATCACCAATTGGTTGGTTTGAAGTTGGTGAAGTTGGGTTGATAGAGGCAAACTTGGTTCATCAAGCCATGAAGAAGGTGAAGATTATTCAGGAAAGGCTAAAAACAACACAAAGTCATCAGAAATCCTATACAGAAGTTAGGAGAGGAGACTTAGAATTTGAGGTTGATGATTGGTTCTACTTAAGTATTTCACTCATGAAGGGTGATATGAGATTTTGTAAGAAGGGGAAACTAAGTCCCTAGTATATTGGTCCTTATAGGATATCCAAGAGGGTTGACAAGGTTGCTTATGAGTTGGATCTACCTTCAGAATTAGCAGCAGTTCATCTGGTGTTCCATGTATCCATGTTATATAAGTGTTTGGGTGATCCTTCACTCATTGTACCTACTGAGAATATTAGTATCAAGGAAAACCTATCTTATGAGAATGTTCCCATTCAGATTCTTGATCGTCACAAGTTGAGAACCAAAGAGGTTTCATCAGCCAAGGTCTTATGGAGGAATCAATATGTTGAGGAAGCTACTTGGGTGGCTGAGGAGGATATGAAGAGGAGACACCCACATCTCTTTCGTTCCAAAGAAATTTCTAACCATGGTACTTACTCTTTGTAAAGTACTCTTTAAGTTGATATACTGAGTTATGTAAATTGCATGTTGGGTGCTTGAGTTAGAATGGTTAAATGCTTTACCCCCTTATTTAACTTAGTGCGATCTCATTCGAGGACACATGTTCCTAAGATGGAGATATTGTAACACCTTGAAATTTGGTCTGTTTTAAAGGTTTTGGTCAACTTCAAACAACCATATCTTTTAGAACATAAAAAGTTAGGTGACCCATGAGGTATCAAATCAAAGATCTTTTAAATCTATTTCCAATGCCACTAAGTTTGCCTCAATATGATGTTTGAGCAAAATGATATGACTGATTTACTGGAGACGCTCTAACCTGGTAGTAGCTCTGCGATGGCTTCACGTTACCGATCGAATACGGACCTCACTGTCTGTTGAAAAAAAATCCCGACTTCCATCTAGTTTTATTTATATTTTAAGGGTATTTTAATCCTTATAACCCTCGGCAAGTCATCTAAATTACCCAAAAATCTTAGAAATATCAGTTTTCAAAAATTAAACCCTCTCATTCACTTCTAAATTCTACACTCAAGAGATGGCTCCTTATGCGGCTCTTTATCGGCGAAAGTGTAGATCACCTATTGGTTGGTTTGAATTTGGTGATGTTTAGTTGATAGAGCCAAACTTGGTTCATCAAGCCGTGGAGAAGGTGAAGATTATTCAGGAATGGCTAAAAACAACACAAAGTCATAAGAAATCCTATACATATGTTAGGAGAAGAGACTTAGAATTTGAGGTTGATGATTGGTTCTACTTAAGTATTTCACCCATGAAGGGTGTTATGAGATTTGGTAAGAAGGGGAAACTCAGTCCCTAGTTATTGGTCCTTATAGGATATCCAAGAGGGTTGACAATTTGCTTATGAGTTGGATCTACCTTCAGAATTAGCAGCAGTTCATCTGGTGTTCCATGTATCCATGTTAAATAAGTGTTGGGGTGATCCTTCACTCATTGTACCTATTGAGATTATTAGAATCAAGGACAACCTATCTTATGAGAATGTTCCCATTCAGATTCTTGATTGTCACAAGTTGAGAACCAAAGAGGTTGCATCAGCCAAGGTCTTATGGAGGAATCAATATGTTGAGAAAGCTACTTGGGTGGATGAGGAGGATATGAAGAGGAGACACCCACATCTCTTTCATTCCAAAGAAATTTCTAACCATGGTACCTACTATTTGTAAAGTACTCTTTAAGTTGATATACTGAGTTATGTAAATTGCATGTTGGGTGCTTGAGTTGGGGTGGTTAAATGCTTACCCCTCTTATTCAACTTAGTGCGATCTAATTCTAAGACGAATGTTCCTAAGATGGAGATATTGTAACACCTTGAAATTTGGTCTGTTTTCAAGGTTTGGTTAGCTTCAAACAACTATATCTTTTAGAACATGAAAAGTTAGGTGGCCCATGAGGTATCAAATCAAAGGTCTTTTAAATCTCTTTCCAATGCCACTAAGTTTGCCTCAATATGATGTTTGAGTAAAATGATATGACTGATTTACTAGAGACGCTCTAACCTAGTAGTAGCTGTGCGATGGCTCCACGTTACCGAGCGAATACGGACCTCAACGTCTGTTGAAAAAATATCACGACTTTTATCTAGTTTTATTTATATTTTAAGGGTATTTTAGTCCTAACAACCCTCGGAAAGTCATCTAAATTACCCAAAATTCTGAGAAAAATCAATTTCCAAAAAATTAAACCCTCTCATTCACTTCTAAATTCTACACTCAAGAGATGGCTCCTTATGCGGCTCTTTATGGGCGAAAGTGTAGATCACCTATTGATTGGTTTGAATTTGGTGAAGTTGAGCTGATAGAGCCAAACTTGGTTCATCAAGCCATGGAGAAGGTGAAGATTATTCAGGAAAGGCAAAAAACAACAGAAAGTCATCAGAAATCCTATAAAGATGTTAGGAGAAGAGACTTAGAATTTGAGGTTGATGATTGGTTCTACTTAAGTATTTCACCCATGAAGGGTGTTATGAGATTTGGTAAGAAGGGGAAACTAAGTCCCTAGTATATTGGTCTTTATAGGATATCCAAGAGGGTTGACAAGGTTGCTTATGAGTTGGATCTACCTTCAGAATTAGCAGCAGTTCATCTGGTGTTCCATGTATCTATGTTAAATAAGTGTTTGGGTGATCCTTCACTCATTGTACCTACTGCAAAATTAGTATCAAGGACAACCTATCTTATGAGAATGTTCCCATTCAGATTCTTGATCGTCACAGGTTGAGAACCAAAGAGGTTGCATCAGCCAAGGTCTTATGGAGGAATCAATATGTTGAGGAAGCTACTTAGGATATAAAGAGGAGACACCCACATCTCTTTCGTTCCAAAGAAATTTCTAACCATGGTACTTACTCTTTGTAAAGTACTCTTTAAGTTGATATACTGAGTTATGTAAATTGTATGTTGGGTGCTTGAGTTGGGGTGGTTAAATGCTTTCTCCCTTTATTCAAGTTAGTGCGATCTTATTCGAGGACAAATGTTCCTAAGATGGAGATATTGTAACACCTTGAAATTTGGTCTGTTTTGAAGGTTTGGTCAACTTCAAACAACTATATCTTTTAGAACATGAAAAGTTAGGTGGCCCATGAGGTATCAAATCAAAGGTCTTTTAAATCTCTTTCCAATGCCACTAAGTTTGCCTCAATATGATGTTTGAGTAAAATGATATGACTGATTTACTGGAGACTCTTTAACCTGGTAGTAGCTCTACGATGGCTCCACGTTACCGAGCGAATACGGACCCCACTGTCTATTGCGATCTCTTTCCAACGCCATCATGTTTGCCTCAATCTGAGTTTTGAGTAAAACAATATGACTTATTTACTGGAGGCACTCTAACCTAGAAGCAGCTTTGTGATGGCTCCGCGTTACGGAGCGAATACGGACCTCACTTTCTGCTGGAAAAATATCCGGACTTCCAGCTAGTTTTATTTATTTTTAAGGGTATTTTAGTCCTAAAATCCTTTGGCAAGTCATCTAAATTACCCAATACTCTTAGAAAAATTAGTTTTAAAAATTAAACCCTTTCATTCACTTCTAAATTCTACTCTCAAGAGCTTTAAAAACTATTAAGGCTAGGGTTCATCTTCCAAGATTTTTCCTTCAAGTCTCTTCAACAACCTTGTTCTTCCAGGTATGTGAGGTTTCTCATAGTGATGCCCTCACACCAATCATCTGAATCTTTCATTAAATTGTCCATGAAATTGTTTATGTAAGTATTATTGAAGAGTTCTTGAGTTTTAACCCCATTCTTTAACAATAGAGGTTTTGAGTTCTTGAGGTGAGAGTCTTGCGAATGAGTGGTGTTTGTTGATAAAATCTGAGTGGGATTTCAATTAAATTGCATTGGTTTCTTTTAATTAAAGTGAGTTTGGAAGAGGAAGAAATAAATCGGCCAACTATTTGAGTTCGGGGCCACATCGCGGAGAGGCATGAAATTTCCATACCTAGCCTATCACCTCCTTTTCGCGATGCCAAAAGGATACAGAGTCTTCTGCCTCAAAAGTCTTTTCACGACCAAAACCTTAATTCCCTCTCCGCGTCGCACTATGGATACATTAGGGTCACCTGACCTTTTCTCTTTCGTCCTTCATTCCGTATGTGTTCTTTCAAACCATACCTATTTTTTCTTTTTGATTTTTACTTCTAAAGGCTTCGTTAATCCTAGAGAAAGTCTTCATGTCACATTCGCATGTCTTCATTTACATTTTAAATTAACGTAGGATAAGAGGAAATTTCAAAGGTTATATTTCATAAACACTTAAAAGTTTCACATGTCATTTATAAATATGTACCTATGTTAATTATTGGACTTCAAAGATAAGTTCATAAGTGCATGTTTTCAAGAATGTAAACACGTCTCATGTTTTGAAAAGTATTTCAAGAAATGTAAGAAGTGTCAATTTTGCTGAATGAGTTCTCTCAAATGAGAGTTCTTCCATTAAATAGAAAGAATTTTGATTTACATGCCTAAAAATCTGCTATATATCCCTAAATATATGCTATTCCTAATTGTAATATCTCTGAAAATATGCTACATTAATCTATGCTATCTCCTATCATCATTACACAAATATTTAGAGTTATAACATAGATATGTACAGATATTTAGAATCTATCCAATCATGCTAACATCCCCCCTCAAATTGATGTCGGTGGATCAAAAAGCATCAATTTGCCTACCAAAAACTGATGACGTTGTCGTGCCATAGACTTTGTAAACACATCAGCTATTTGAAGATCACTGGATACATGTGGAAGAGTAATGACTCTCTTATCTACAGCTTCTCTGATATAATGACAATCCACTTCAATGTGTTTGGTCCTTTCATGATAAACTGGATTAGTAGCAATCTGAATAGCACTTGTATTGTCAGCATGGAGAGGAGTGGGATTAGATTGAGGAAATCCAATTTCTGTAAGTAAACCACGAAGCCAAACAATCTCAGAGCAAGCAGTAGACATTGCTCGATATTCAGATTCGGTGGAAGATTTTGATACACGATCTTGCTTCTTGCTCTTCCAAGATATCAAGGAATCTCCAAGAAACATGCACCAACCCGTGACGGAGCGACGAGTATCAGGACATCCAGCCCAATCAGAATCACTAAATGCATTAAGCTGAATCTCAGAACCACTAGGAAAGAATAATCCACGAGTAGATGTTCCCAAGAGATATCGAATGATGCGACGGACAGCCACCAAATGTAGATGGCGTGGAGCCTGCATAAATTGACTCACTTGTTGAACTGCAAAAGAGATATCAGGCCGAGTAATAGTAAGATAATTTAGGCTCCCAACTAATTGCCGATACAAAGTTGGATCAGGAAGAAGATCTCCTTCCGCACTGCAGTACTTTACATTCAATTCCAATGGAGTATTTACAGAGGAAGATTCTTGAAGACCAGCCAAAGCGATCAAGGCCTGAGTATATTTGTGTTGGTTCAAGAACACACCTAAAGAATTATAATGAACTTCTAACCCCAAAAAGTAAGTAAGAATACCAAGATCTTTCATATGAAAAGAATCCTTAAGCTGCTGCTGGAGGCTAGTGATTAGTGAAGAATCAGTTCCTGTGATAATAATGTCATCGACATACACCAAAAGAAGAACACAACCAGCAGATGTTTTTCGAAGAAACAAAGACGAATCATATTTGCTCTG